TGGAGACCCTCCAGCGTTCGTCTCATTATTTCATCGATCACGAAGTTAAAAAGGAATGGAGAGAGTGGGCATCCCTGACGGATACCGCTTTGTGTACGGAAGCCGACACTGAGGCGGAGAAAAATACTTTCTACCGAGAGCTATCCGGGCTCATTTGTCAAGCAAAATGCACTGACATTTTGGTCCTTGCAGGCGATTTGAATGCTCAAGTAGGTCGTCTGAGCTCTTTGGAATCACATTTGGGCGGTCGATTCGGGGTCGATGCTCGCCGCACAGACAACGAAGATCGATTCCTTCAGTTGTGTTCTGATTATGAACTGTTTCTGGCAAGTACTTTCACACCTATCCACAACGGAAGTTGTCGATTACCAGGGGGAACGAAGATCGTTTTTGCGACCGCAAACAAAAACATTGGGAAAAGGATTCACCGGCCTGGACTTTGTATTCAAAAGTGATCCATACAGATACCGGCCGGCTAGTTAAGTGATAGGATCACGTGCTAAACATTGGCCATTGAAGTTTGTTCACGATGAGAATGTGTTATGTCGCGTCGGTTTTATTATCTCCTGTATGTATCTCCGAATCTGAGATAGCGAGAAGAGAAATTGGCGACGGGGAAACAGGATCCTACTAGTACACAATCAACTCGTTTCTGTCCTTGTCCTGAAACGAGAACAGGTTTCCATTCCATAGGAAAGCAGCTTCATTACCCCCAATGGTGAGATAGTCTTTCTCCACTGGGTTGCCAACCGAAAAGAGGCAGATGTACAAGGAGATTGCAGCACATGAAATACGAAACCCATTAGAGAATTCGCAATGTATCGTATAGCTGGGTGAGGTGAAGCAACGTTTGTTCATCTCCCCCGGGGAAAGCTCAGGTCGAGATGAACGAGCGGAGGAAACACATGCGCACATTCGACAACCACTGCAATCAATCTTTCGGGAGCGAATAAAACACAGCAAAGTGAAGAAGAATTGAGTTGTTCAGCCCCAAAACTATCCGGAGCAGTTCTGTACAAAGACATTTTGGGTTGGATGTTCCTCACGGAGGACACAGGACTGTCACTACATGAGAAAAATGCCCTGCTTGATCAAGTGACCAGTTCCCGCTTCGTTTGCGGAGCACAGAGGTTGAAAGGTACCGTCCTTTGTTCCACCGTTCTCTTCAACGTGTTATGTTGATGATTCTGAAGCCGTCTACCCAAATGGACATTTTGATTTCCATTCCATAGGAAAGTAGCTTCATTACCCCCAATGGTGGGATAGTATTTCTCCACTGGGTTGCCAACCGAAAAGAGGCAGATGTACAAGGAGATTGCAGCACATGAAATACGAAACCCATTAGAGAATTCGCAATGTATCGTATAGCTGGGTGAGGTGAAGCAACGTTTGTTCATCTCCCCCGGGGAAAGCTCAGGTCGAGATGAACGAGCGGAGGAAACACATGCGCACATTCGATAACCACTGCAATCAATCTTTCGGGAGCAAATAAAACACAGCAAAGTGAAGAAGAATTGAGTTGTTCAGCCCCAAAACTAACTATCCGGGTTCTGTACAAAGACATTTTGGGTTGGATGTTCCTCACGGAGGACACAGGACTGTCACTACATGAGAAAAATGCCCTGCTTGATCAAGTGACCAGTTCCCGCTTCGTTTGCGGAGCACAGAGGTTGAAAGGTACCGTCCTTTGTTCCACCGTTCTCTTCAACGTGTTATGTTGATGATTCTGAAGCCGTCTACCCAAATGGACATTTTGATAGTCTGGTGCTCTTCAACGATCAAGTATGAAAATTTTCGAGAGGACCCTTTCTGATTCACTTTACTCCTCTGATTAAATGGACTTGGAGTTTATTCCTCTCAGGTGCGCTGGAAAGACGTCATCACGCCTCTGTTGTCAGGTCACACGAAGGACCCTTAGGGGATTCTACTTAACCGTACTTAGGTAAGCCCCATAGCAGTTAAGAGTAGGTTTGCCCCCACTTCCAGTTACAATGCTCACGCTTAAGCCGCCCCCCCCCCGCGTCAATCCAGTGTCCCCACAAACCAATGTGTAACTTCGTATAGTCGTGTGGTTATCTGTCACGTGTGATGCCCCTCTGTCATATTTCTGAACTTCTCCTTGAAGGAGGCCTGTTACTCGTTCTATGAGGAACGAATTACCAAATGTCCGTTCGTCCGATCGACCCGGTCAGATTCGAAGGCTCATACGCCTTCAAACAATATAATACAGGTGGGTTAGCTGCCAGTACGCATGAGTGAAACTTCCATCTGAGAGGTTGTCATTCAAGGAACCAGTGGACACGTGACCATCTGATGTGGATTCCGTGACTGAAGGATGGGTGCACGTGAAAGTTAGACACGCTTCTGATCGGCCAAACAGGCGGGGGTTCGGACTACTATCAGGGAGGGCGTATGTTCGAAACCCCTTGATGTTCAGCTGTACCACCCTTTTGGTACCTAACTCCCATGCTACCAGAAGAAAGCACGAGGATTGGGATACTGCCAGATGGCCCAAGTCTAGACAGGGGAAGTCGAGATGCAGAGGTCGGGTTCGAACCTTCGCGCTCTGAGCCATCTCGCCCAAGTTCGATTCATATGGTGAATTGGGTCAATTTTGAACGCTCAGATGAAAAACATCAAGTGAATTGCACCACAGTGGAGAGCAATTCAATGCTTCGGACGTAGACGCGGGAAAAAAAAAAACAGAATCAAACGGACATACCAAATCTGTCTTTGAAGGCGACGAAACAGCAAACTCCGCGAGACTGGTGGACGGCCACTCGACAAAACTGCATGTGTGCACAAAGAAAGAAGAAGAGGGGTTTGAGTAAAGTCATGATTACCACAGTTGGGCTACCGTGTTAGCATAGATTCCACAAAAATTGCATAGCTATCGAACTGGACACAGTGTGTGGCTACTAGAGTTATCAGTCAATCAGCTTCGTGTCAGATTTTCACTCAAACATGCCACAAAAAAGTGAAAGTCAGTTATACATGCGCACATTCGATAACCACTGCAATCAATCTTTCGGGAGCAAATAAAACACAGCAAAGTGAAGAAGAATTGAGTTGTTCAGCCCCAAAACTATCCGGAGCAGTTCTGTACAAAGACATTTTGGGTTGGATGTTCCTCACGGAGGACACAGGACTGTCACTACATGAGAAAAATGCCCTGCTTGATCAAGTGACCAGTTCCCGCTTCGTTTGCGGAGCACAGAGGTTGAAAGGTACCGTCCTTTGTTCCACCGTTCTCTTCAACGTGTTATGTTGATGATTCTGAAGCCGTCTACCCAAATGGACATTTTGATAGTCTGGTGCTCTTCAACGATCAAGTATGAAAATTTTCGAGAGGACCCTTTCTGATTCACTTTACTCCTCTGATTAAATGGACTTGGAGTTTATTCCTCTCAGGTGCGCTGGAATGACGTCATCACGCCTTTGTTGTCAAGTCACACAAAGGACCCTTAGGGGATTCTACTTAAAAGTACTTAGGTAAGCCCCACAGCAGTTAAGAGTAGGTTTGCCCCCACTTCCAGTTACAATGCTCACGCTTAAGCCGCCCCCCCCCCCCGTCAATCCAGTGTCCCCACAAACCAATGTGTAACTTCGTATAGTCGTGTGGTTATCTGTGATGCCCCTCTGTCATATTTCTGAACTTCTCCTTGAAGGAGGCCTGTTACTCGTTCTATGAGGAACGAATTACCAAATGTCCGTTCGTCCGATCGACCCGGTCAGATTCGAAGGCTCATACGCCTTCAAACAATATAATACAGGTGGGTTAGCTGCCAGTACGCATGAGTGAAACTTCCATCTGAGAGGTTGTCGTTCAAGGAACCAGTGGACACATGACCATCTGACGTGGATTCCGTGACTGAAGGCTGGGTGCACGTGGAAGTTAGCCACGCTTCTGATCGGCCAAACAGGCGGGTGTTCGGACTACTATCAGGGAGGTCGTATGTTCGAAACTCCTTGGTGTTCAGCTGTACCACCCTTTCGGTACCTAACTCCCATGCTACCAGAAGAAAGCACGAGGGTTGGGATACTGCCAGATGGCCCAAACCTAGACAGGGGAAGTCGAGATGCAGAGGTCGGGTTCGAACCTTCGCGCTCTGAGCCATCTCGCCCAAGTTTGATTCATATGGTGAATTGGGTCAATTTTGAACGCTCAGATGAAAAACATCAAGTGAATTGCACCACAGTGGAGAGCAATTCAATGCTTCGGACGTAGACGCGGGAAAACAAAAACAGAAATCAAACGGACATACCAAATCTGTCTTTGAAGGCGACGAAACAGCAAACTCCGCGAGACTGGTGGACGGCCACTCGACAACACTGCATGTGTGCACAAAGAAAGAAGAAGAGGGGTTTGAGTAAAGTCATGATTACCACAGTTGGGCTACCGTGTTAGCATAGATTCCACAAAAATTGCATAGCTATCGAACTGGACACAGTGTGTGGCTACTAGAGTTATCAGTCAATCAGCTTCGTGTCAGATTTTCACTCAAACATGCCACAAAAAAGTGAAAGTCAGTTATCTTAGGCTATTATTCGAGCGGTTCGTATTTGCGGAGGGGGGGAGTGTTAGGACCAACGCGGCTTCCCCTATCTATTTGGAAATATGGGATATACCTGCTGACTGAAGCTGCTGGCTGGCGATTTCCACTTTGCTGGGGAATTTCGAACTTTGCTCCCCAAGACTGAAAAGAAGATTGTCCGAACGCCGATTCATAAGAAAAACGAGAGCGAAATAAGTGCAACGGAAAACGCGTAGTTGGAAAATCTATTGGAAATCTATTACTCTACTCTGTTGATTGCTTGGCCACCAAAACGACGGACCCAAAACGTTGTACGCATCAAAGAATCAAGCCCACGTTAAACTCCGAATAAACAGACCAGGAAGGGCTTTGGTTTAGGGAGTACCATTTGGCCAACTCAGCCAGAAAACCCATGGTTTGTTCTCACAGACAAAAGAACGGAGCACGTCTGCTGTGAGCTTCGCCGTCCCACCTGCGCAGCGGACTCGGGCTATTTTCAAGATGACTTTGACAGTCGATGTCAGAAGTAGTTGAGGATGGTTCGTTACGATACTGGATTCGGAATTTTCGCAGTAACGAGAATTTACCGTCTAATCCGAAAGTGCTACGAAACAACGCGAAATGTCATTAGAACCAACATCCGTGGAGAAACGTGCTTTCCCATTGCCGATAAGACTGTCAACTCAATTCATGACATGCAGTGGATTCATTTGTTCAGCAACACGATCACTCAACCCAACAGCTGCAGGCGGCAAATTATCTGTCGACTTTAATCACCAGGTCTATAGCTTCCTCGGGCAAACTGTCTGCTTGAAGAAACTGTATGCCGAATAAACTGAGCGACAACGAGTTCTACACAGCACATTGTCGCTGGCCGGTATGAGTTCTTAATATATGTGATACATGGGCTATATACCACTTCTGGAGTCTCACCCAAGAGGAAAAACAGATGTTTTCGTAATGCTGAAACTCCTCGACAGCTCACGACCGGTTTCGCCCTTCCAGTTCGGGCTCATCAGGTAGGTGCAGTCCCCGATTTCCCGCCAACCTTACGTTCTACTTTAAAAAAGCAGATATGGATGAATGCATCGGATGTGACTGAAGGTTTGCTTCTCAAAGTCGGGCAAATCTACAGCCGCCAGGCCGTGAAAAATTGATCATGTGACCAGCTAGTCAAGCGAAGGGATCACGTGATTCGCCTACCGTGAAATGACCTTTGACCGATGAACTTGATCCCGACTGAGGTTGCCACATGCTACCGATGCTAGTCCGTCAAACACAGTTCCAAAAACCACTCACAGGGAAGGCCTTAAATGATCTTATTTGAGAGGGACGTCATCTGTCGACCATACGAACTAATAATGTAAGTACCTCAAATTTCCGTGCACGAATATGGCACTCTTTGTAAGACGCGTAACAACGAAAACTTCGTTATAAAGACTACTTTTATCGTCTACGAAAAATGTCACCGGGATACGAACCAGCAGGAGTCCATTGGGCAACCAATACTTTACAAAAGTCAACTGGAACTGAACCGGGTCCGAACTAACGTGTGTGACCTCACTCTGCTGTGAGTGGTACGTCCAACTCTGTTAGACAGGCGGCCTAAAATGCCAAATCGCACAAAACAGTCTGTGTCAGCAGTAAACTCATCAACCCAGACCAACTTCACTAAGAAACCGCCTATTGTGGGCCCTTTGAAATAGTCCCCTAGGAGAGTAAGAACCATTGAGGTCTGGTAAGTTGACTTGAACGCCAATTTCCAAGCACGGCAAACGGATCAACGACCAAAGAACTACTACTAATATTTCAGTGTATTGCCAAAATAGGAATGCTAATCGAAGTCATTGGCGTTCGTGTTTTCAGTTTCTATCCAGTTTCTAACCATTACAGAAAATCACTTGGGATCTACATTGTCCTGGAGCAAAGTTGCCCCTCCATAAAGATCGTCTACAGGAATGACTTCCTATAGAAACCAAAGCATTGGAAGCACTCACAAGGGCCGGACGCAGAAACGTCCTACCTGTTCGATCGAGCAAATCATGAGTGACGAGGAATTCTATCTAATTGCGCCTTTTCACTAAAGAACAAGGGGCTTTTAAGTAGAACATAAGGTTGACGGAAACTCGGGGACTGCGCCTACCTGATGAGCCTCAAGAAGGGCGAAATCGGTCATGGGCTGTCGAATAGTTTTCAGCAATCTTAGGAGTAGCGCAATACGAATATACATGTATCGCGATATCTCGAATACCGTAGCAACTGCAGTCTGGTGCAGCACATTCAGTTGCCTGGGAACACCACAAACGAGAGATTCAGCTGGGTTCCAGATGAGTCTCTCGGAAAACCAAATTTGTTCGCAAATGAGTGTATATCACTAAAGTCAAGTGTTCTTGATTGGAGGGGATTAGTCTCTCTTGAAGGTCGGAATAGGACAGCTACCCATCACTCGATCTGCGTTGTCCCAAAATTCACAGGAATCAAAAGCGGCTGGAGCAAACAATGAAGAGTTGAGCAACAGCTTTTCATTATGAACACAAAGGTCAGGAGTATTGATCGATCTGTAGAACGTACAGTTGATCCTAAGGAAGAACGCATTTACCAAGCGCATAACAACCAAATATGATCACAGGCCTCACCGAAAGCTCTCCACGGTGGAGTTGGCGAGCGTTGTATACAATTCAAATCTCCACCAGGAAAGGAAATGAAAACGGTGAGGCCACGCGGCACCAGCTCAATATGATCAAGTCACAAATCGGCGAAGATGAAAGTTTCCCGCGCTACTTTACCACAAGTCAAGGACAATTTTCGGAGGCATCTGCGGATGCCGCAAACGTGCTACAAAGCGGCTGCTTGTGACATCCACAAATGGGGGAAAAATCTATAACGACAGTGTCTGAATTTTAAAAAAAATCGTTCAGCTGTAACACCCTTCTGGTGTCTAGCTGCCAGGCTACCCGAAGGAAGCACGAGGGCTGGGATACTGCCAGGTCGCCCAAGCCTGAGCAGGGGAAGTCGAGGGGCAGAGTTCGGGTTCGAACCACGGACCTTCCGGTCAGTAAATTCGCGCTCTAACCACTTGAGCCATCTCGCCCCCGTGTCTGAATTTGCAAATAGATTGTTGAATCCAACTCCCCGCCGAGATAACTATCAAACCATATCGGACCATCATTTACACCCGAACTAATCGGACGCGTGGAACATGTTTGCGTAGACTTCTCCTCTTCAAAACCTGCTCACAAAACATCCCGGCATTCATGCCTATTCAAGTGGACGGTATGAACCCAGTAAAAGCTTTAGAACAATGATTAATTATGCAGCGAAAAGGTACAGTAGCATTCCGCTATCGTCCGGCTTCACTGAGATTCTAAGTTGAGTGAGGTCCGTTGAACCGTAGACACTTTGATTTTGGATGGGCTTGTCTTGGGCTTTTTATTGGATAAAGGCCAAACATGCTACTAAACATATATTTGGTGAGACTGATTATCAGAACGAATACCGTTCGGATTTTTTCCAAAAACCCTTTCTGACCGCTGGATTAGTCACTAAGCTGATTGAAGGCTCTCGAGACATGTTTTATGGTGTCTGGCCATCCGAAACTGAACACTGGCTAGTTGTTGGTGTTTGCTGTAGTCCGCATTCACAGTGACTACCAATCAGATGACAGCGCACTCTGATTGGTTAATATGCCAACCAATCAGAACCAAGTGACTAAATTCTCACTGATCAAATGGGAACAAGCATCACCGATATAAGTCCAGAGAATTTTTACCTAGGGAGTAAATGTACTTGTACTCTCCATATTTTATCGTGCTATATGATCTGATACATGATAGGAGGTAGTGGAGTAAGCAAGGCAAGACAAATACCGGTAATCACGGGATGAAAATGGCAATAACTGTTGGGTTTTCAATGCAGCAAGCAACTCACGTCGAGATGGGATTGACGGTAATCAGAGCTGAGCTAGAACCGGCCTGTTGGGATTCTAAACTGGATTGTCTTGAATGAGATTGGTAGCCCGAGGAACGACTATCACCACAGGTAGACGGACAGGGTTTCCGGGGAGACATAGCTTGAGTTGGATGCCGAGTGATCATATGTGTTGTGTGAATTTGATGCTCCTCGTGCTGCAGTTCTGGAATAACATCGGAATTTGATGTATATGCACTAGATACTGCGGTGGACTGACGGACTTCTGAGTAGGGAGATGCGAGTCGCGAGTCAGGAAAGACTAGTTGAGCAGTTGGTCTGAGTCTTCGTCTACGGCTTGGCAGCAGAAGGCCACTATCTGTAGCGAAGTAGTCTGGAAACTTGGACCGTACAGCCAACGCTGGACCGGTCGCGTTCGCTGAAGAGGCCTCGCGCCGTCGAGCGGAGTAGTTGGGTGGGAGAGGGAGAGAATGGCACGTTGTACTGTCGAAAGACTCGTAGATAGTTGAGTTTACCTCTGCGTCTCCATCCATCCGGCTGGCTGGAGATTCGGGAGGCACGGAAAGAACAGGGTTCTTGACTTCGCCCTCGCAGGAAGGATTGTGGAAAGGACTACTTCCTGGAGTTGTTTCTGGCGTCGTGGACGCTGAAACAGGGGTTCCGGATCCTGAAGAAGAGGCTGTCCCAAGACGATGCGTTACGGTCGAATCTGAAAGCGCTGCTCGGGAACCTACATCACTACAAAGATCCGGTGAAGTTGGTGTGGAAGAGGAACGTCCTGTGCACAAAGGCAGAGGGAGGAGATCGGAACATGGTTAAAAAGATTGAAGAGACCCGGAAAAACGTAGAATCACAAGCAAAACATACTTTTCCTCTGTACTTCATCAAAAAGAAGCCACCAATCCTCCGAAGTAAACCGCTAAGCCGTCCACTTGCTAAAATGCAATCCTTATGTTTCATCCAACCCTGAGAACTAGAGATATACCAGGAAGGAGGCGGGAATTCGAGCCAACAGTGATGCTAAAGTGATGCTATATGTGGCACCCTATTAAGGGAACCCTCAGTGAACACGAAGGCCTTAACAAAAACAATAGTGTCAACTGTCAATGTTTCACTCAAGTAAATCTGGGACAGATAGTCATTAAATTTTCTACTGGTTCCTTCGGTTTGCTTGTTCCAACCCGGATAGAATCGAAGATTTCCGTTTCGCTGTACTTGGAGATGCACAGGCCATTTTGTTCACATTGCGCAGACCAGAAAACCTGAACTAGATCGCAGTGGTATCCTTTTTTCATCCGAAAGTACGCTGACGTCATTACGGTGATGTACCTCTGAATACCAGAATAAGTTAAGACAGGAACAAAGAGTGAACGGAGAAAACCTATCAGCTTCTATCAGCCAGACCTCCGATTTTACGGCGCGAGCCCCTGAAACCCGATTTCGAGACCCATTTCAAATTCTCCCGACCTGGTTCTAGCAACCTAGCAGCATTTCCATCCAAGGGTTTTCTTCACGTTGGACAACAGCTTTGCCCTGAAAGGATATCACAGCTCGCTGATTGATGCGATAGAATCTTCGTTAAGTCCAACATTATATATGGAACGTTTTGTATGGAAGAGACGTATCCATCAGAGACCATTGGAGACCGAATGAACAAACAAAAGCCACGCGTAGAAAAGTTACCAAAAACCTGGCTGGCGTTTAGCTGTAATATCATTTCCGTGCCTAGCTGTCATACCAACCGAAGGAAGCACGAGGGGTGGGATATTGCCAGGATATATACATATATATGCTAATTACGTGACGTAATTATTTGTTTCCCTATTCTTCAGGCTAATTCATCACCCTTCCAGTGACTGCTCAAGTTTCAAGACTGAACTGTTCTATTTTAAACAAAGTCTTCTCTACCTCAACCGTTTTTTATATAGACGATTCGTTTACATTTATTTCTGGGCTTGTTGTTGAAAAT